AAAAGTTGGACATTTTAGAAAAGAAAAAAAAACTATAAATCACACACTGAAAACCATTCATCAAAACCGCTTAAAATCCAGAATTCACCATGAAACCACGTAAACATTTTTTTTCTTACACATTTCCATGCGAGTACCCATGTGCTGAATTGTCTCCCAAACATTCACAAATGACAAACCAAACCACCAAACACAAAATTGTTTTTAACAGACCAACCAAAAAGAAGCAAATTGAATTTTTTTTGAAACACATCAATCATCACTCTTCGAGGTGGCAGAAGAATCAACGGCCTTAGAACTTGCATCACCACATATCATCGTCACTACCTTCAATGTGTTCCACCTCCATGATACTCTGACTCTGTGTGTTCTGCCGTTTTCCATCTCTCTTCTTCTTCTTTTTCTGCAACATATAAATCCCATTTGAACTTGGAAAATTTTGGGTCAACACACTTAATTAAACAGGAGATACAAAATCAATATCCAAAATAAATATACATATAATCAATAAAAGAAAAGAATCAACCTTATATCTCTCCCGCGTAAAAATCAATTCCCAATCACATGAATGAATACTACTATCTTTGGCATAAGAAAACCTGATCCAATTCCCAATTTAACAAAAATGGACCCAACCAAACACACACGCACAAATCACACAGACAGGAAGAGAAAAAGAGAGGGGGAGAGCAAACAAATTATAAGAGGAAAAGAAATCATTGTATTAAAATAAATGGAGAAACAAGATTGTTAGGGTTCACCTTGGTTTCGTCGACGAGCTTGCAGAAAGCAGCATACTTCTCCGGATTGTCGAATTTCATGAGAATTTTGCCGTATACACTTTCGTCATCCTCGCTGTCGCTGTCGGTGGTGTATTCAAGGTCATCATCCTCTACATCATCACTCCCCGTGTTCCCCCTTTTCTTATCGCCCATCGTCTTTTGCTTCAATTTGAATACGGATTAAACAAGAATCTTAAATCAATTCTCGAACTGGAGTAGGAGATCACGAAATAACCAATAACGAATGAATGAATCAGATCATACAGAATCAGAATAACTGAAAAACGAAAACAGACCTCGGTCTCCTGGGGATCTTCGATATTGTTTACATCTAAAGGGCGTTCCATGCTTCCATCTCTCCCTTCGTTATCGTCGCCTCAACAATCAACAACTCTCCAATTTCCCCGCCGCGTTTTCTATATTGTTTACAACTCATTTTAGTATAATTAATTCCGATTACATTTTGCTACATTGAAAAGTGGTGCCGTGAGAGATGGTGTCTGGGGCTGAATTGGGGCTGGGGGGAAATTTTGTAAATTAGATAAGGTGCAGGGACTTATATCCAATTTTTAAGAATTTTAAATGTATTACACTTTAGTTCAACTAGTTTTTAACCCGTGCATTTGCACGGAAAACAATATCATAGAACAAAAAATAATAAAAATATATAAACAATAGTAAAAATCATAATATAATCATTGGAAAAATGTTCTAAGAAATAATAACTAAATATTGTTAAACAATTTTTTATATACAATGTTTGTGGTTTTTCTATCAACAGAATTTTCATCACTACAAATCATATCTTCAAATTAAGGCATATAATGGTTTTAATTGTTTAAATAATTATTGTATTTTGTACTATAGATCATATAGGAAATTAAAAAAAATACTAAAAAAATAGCAGCAAAATATTACAACATAAATAATTGTATTTGGTTGAAATAATGATATGTGCCAAATATTTAAGACATTTGAACAAAATGACAATTTTTGGGTCATAAAGAAATATATTGATTGAATGATAAAAAAAGTCCAAATTAGAAGTCCACTTAATTTTTTAGGGTAGCCAAAATCAAATATAAAACAGGTCAGTGATAACATGACTATAAATAGAGATAAATTCCTTGAGAGTGATGTAAGCCATTTTTTTTGTTTGATGCGCTTCTCTCGTTATTCACTCTGTCTGAAACCCTAATCCTTAACTCGATATTACGACAAACTCAGCGAGATTCAATACAAAACAACTGTTTTACCGGAGATTTTCTCCCGGTAAAGGCTTAAAAAATTAAAAAAAAAAAAAAGACATCCGAGAAATGTTGTTTTTGTGACCAACAGTAGTAATCGAAAAATAAAATATTCATCCCGATTTCTTAATCTATGTTGCTAAATCTTAACAGGTCGGTCAAAATCGGGCGATAATATTACAAATCTATGATGAGCTGAAATATTTTTTGTTAAACGTAGTTTTTATTTTTTATTATTTTCAATGATCTGTGTCGTTTTTCGAAATTCTTTGTGAATAAGCTTCAAGATATATTATATTTTATACATAATTCGAAATTATTTAGATGTTTTTCAAAATCGTTTTTCGAAGAGAACATGACATTGGTCGAACTTTTTCAAACTTTTATGTATTTTGTTCAGGGTTTGAAAAAATATGCAAGTTTCTAACAGATATGTTCAGCTCTACTAACAAATATATATGTAAGTTTATAACATATCTGTTCATATCTTTTTATAACATACATATGTAACTTTCATGTATTTTGTTCAGAATTTAAAAACTAAATAGTTCAATTCTTTGTCGTCTTTCTCATCCTATCAGTAAGTGAAGCTTTGCTAACACTTGTTCAAAATCGCTTTTCGAAGTTATTCAAAGTCTTTTGCCGAAGTTTTTCAAATTTTTTAGTATTTTGTTCAAAATTTGGAAATATTAGGTAAGTTTATAACAAATCTGTTTAGATATATTTATCGCATATTAGAAATTTCTTGTTTAATGTTTAAAAGAATCTGTAGGAATTTTTATTTTTAAAACTTTTACGCAAAAAAATCGATTTTAATATAAAGGCAGATGTCTTGGTAAAAGTTGAATATGTTGATAATGATAGAGAAATCAAATTATTTTTCTTTCTATATTGTATAGTGTTCAATAATGTTCCACATAATTTGCTGTGTTTTTAATTTTGATTTTTTCATATAGATTTGACTTTTTTTTGTTGATTATTAATTATGGTTGATATTTCTATATTATGCAACAATCTGCCATTACATGTAATGACTTGTCAATTCTCATTCTTTGACTTTGCCAATTTCCGTTTAACATGACTTTTCTGTTGCTGAAAGTATGTTTTTAATGCATTAAAATATTGATGTTTTAGATATGTTTTGATGCTATAATCATGCAGAAATTTGTCCCGCCAATTTTTTCTTAAAGAGGAATTGTTTAATGAAAATTAATCATTTTTATATTTATAATTGTGAAAAAATATTTTTTTTCACGGCCAACAGTTATTTTGTTTTAATGAAAAATATGAGACAATTGATTCAAGACACTTTTTAATTTATAAAAAAAGAATGTTGATTGCGATAATCAAATATGCAGAAATCATGCATTTTATTGAATAGTAGTAATATAAAATATTTTATTATTACTACCAAATAGAAAGTCAAAGAATGTTAATTTTGCACTATTAATTATGATCATATGGATTTTTTTTATACATATGTTTTTTCAATGAACTTTTTAAATGATAATATTGACAATATAGACTTTGCTATAATAATTATATAGACTGTGTTATAATAATAATTTATTTATTTAATTCATAATTCATCTTATTATGCGTATAGTCTAAGTTTATAAATTATATGTCATTTAAATGTATCTATACTACTAATTTATAAGGTTTTACCATTTGGGGAGCTAAATTTTTAATTTAGTTTATGAAACTAATCTTTCTTATCATTTTGTAGTTATATATTTGATTGAGTATGGCTAGAAATTAAATTACAAAAAAAATAATTTCATTTTTATATTGTAATGTAACATGATATGTATTATAATGTTTGTAATTAATACATTTATTAATATTTCTTATAACTTTAATTGCTTATTCAATTCATAATGAAATAAAAAATAATAATATATAGTTTCTGCACAACAATAATAACTGTCACATTTATATATATAAATGAGAATAAGAAATATAAATGTGGGATTAACTAAAAAAGACTTTTTTAATTTAGTCATTAACTAATTAAGTTTAACTAAAAGAAACCTTCTTAAATGTGAGATTAATGAGTAATTAATTAAAAAAATGTAACTTCTTTTGGAGGGAAAATGAAAATGTTTTTATTAAATGTTTTATTAAATGAGGTTAGCTAGCAATTATATATATATAGATTGATTAGGTACATAGTTTATAAAGAATAATAAATGCACAATAACAATAATTAAAGTGCACAATAGAGTCACTGTATATGCACAATAAAATTTCATGAAATTATCAAAGTGTGCAATTCGTTTAACCATAACTAGTGTGTACCCCGTGCGATGCACGGAAACAATATTAAATCAACAATATTATAAATAGACCTCGAGTTTGAGTCACTCAATGGCGGAAGTGGAAACTACTATTGATCCCATTTAAAAAGATGAAAAAAATAAAATTGTAAATTAAAGAGGAGGATAAACAATACTTAATAATTATAAATTAAATATTCCGGGACAAACAATGTAAAATTATTTTGTATAAGAGAATATAATATTTGCATTATTTTGTACAAGAGAATATAAAATTTGGATGTTTAATATTAAAACACCTAAAATATTATATTAGTATATGTAAAAGTATTCAAAATTTTCTATATTATTTTTGAAATATGTGAAGTCACCTACAACGTTTCTAAACAATTTTAGAAGGAAAACATATCTAAAAACATTTGAATTTAACATTGTATAAAAAAAAAATTCTAGACTATTTTGTAAAGAAAACATGTCTACAAATATTTAAATTTAACATCAATTATGTATATGTGTGTATATATATACATATATATATATATATATATATAAACGAATATGTAAAAAAATGTCTAAACAATTAAAGTATCTAAAATATTATAAGTCTAATTTAATAAAGACATTAAGCCTAATTTAATAAAGACATTCAGATGATACCGGCGTTAGTTCCATCTAACAAAATTTGATTACACACCAGATGATACCGTATGGCGTTAGTTCCATGTAACAAAATTTGATTACACGCAATTTTAAAATTATTATTATACTAAAATATTAGTAATTAGACCGATGAAAATTAACAGCGCCGGTCGTATTTTATTTTTCAAATAAGGGATGAGATTTTTTAAACTACTTATATTATTTTTTAAATATGTATAGATAAGGGATGAGATTTTTTGAACTGTAAGACATATGTAATGTGATTTTGTAAAAAATGAGAGATAAACTCGTGCTATGGATAAACTTTTGTATAGATTGGAATTGGAAACGATTTTAAAAGCAGAAAATATCAATTTCAAATGCATGGATTAGAAGGAAAAGATATCTAAAAATATTTGAATTTACCTGTAAAAAATATTTTTCTAGACTATTTTGTAAAGAAAACATGTATATATATATATATATATAGACGAATATGTAAAAAAATTGTCTAAACAAATTGTTTAAAATATCTGAAATATTATAAGTCTAATTTAATAATGATACCGACATTACTCCCATCTAACAAAATTTGATTACACACAATTTCAAAATTATTATTATACTTTTTACGTTGTTATCGAAGATGGATTGTTAGTTTATAATATTTGTAAAAATTTGATTACACACGATTTAATTGGATTTGTTGTTGCACGCCGATTTAATTGTGCAAAAATTCCGATATTTTTGTGGGAAAGTTTAAATAAAAAGCCAATCGGATTTACTGTTGCACGCCGATTTAATTGTGCAAGCTACACTTTAGAAAACACTACAATTAAGGAGCCGTTTATTGTGATTATTTACAATTGTCCACTATTACTATAATTATAATATATCTAATGAATTAGGCCGAAAAAACTTGCTAAATTTATAAAAAGGTTATTCTTTTTATATAATGATAGATGTGCATGATTTCGGTCGCTATTGTGCATCCTGAATCAATTGAGTTTTTGTCTCAATCCAATCAAAATTGAACCGACATATTTAGTTTATTCAGTTGGTTAACCAAAATAACCAATTAACTTAAATAAAATATTATTTATTTTATAAAAATATATTTAATAGTTTTTTTTCTCAAAACGATAGATAATATTATAAATCAAAATGCACAAATGTGCGAATACACAGCAGCCAACGGCTGAATACACAACAATCAACAACTGAAAAAGTGGGAGGACAGGTCAGAAGACCGCCTAGAGTCCCGCTAGTAACGCTAGAATAAAAACACTCGCAACTAAACTAACCAACAACACAAACCACTAAAACAACTAAAAGACCCCAACGGAGTAATACCCGAGTGTCGGATCCCAACAGGATAATAAGTTTGACACTCGGGCTCACAGGGGCCAATGACCCAAACCAAAAACACAAGACAAAGACAACACTAAAAAGAAAAACACTAAACGAGAACACAAAAAAAAAACTAAAACAAACTAAAATAAACTAAAAGCCATTCCCCAGCAAACGAGCTAGCCCGAACCAATAGTGAACGATCGACACAAGACAATCCAGGCCAAAGAATCGGCTACCGAAACTGCAATCAAGCCTATACAGTAGCCGAAATCAAACCCCGAATCAATCGCCGTATCAACCCATCTTTAAACGAGCGAACAAGAACCAACTCCCCACCAGTTCCACCCGATCCCATCTAACACCACTAGTGAGCTCGGAAGAACCAAATTCCCCGCCGCCTATCACCACTAGCCGACAGGGAGGGAGGGAGAGGCACGTCGCCGCTCCGGCAACCATGGCAAAGGACCCAGCTAAAGCTCCGCCCCACCACTACGCTGCCAAAGCCCCGCCCCACACACACCGCGCCACCACAAATCGCCGGCAACTGGAGGCCAAACTCCACCCGAAGCTCCACCGGAGAAGGCGATGCCAACGAGAGGAATCTTCATGTCGTAGACCAGAGGCGAATCGCGCTGTTGACGACTTCCAGCTGGGGACCTGCCAGCGACCAAATTGCAGGCCTTTCTCCGTCAAGGAGCCGCACCACGTATCGAGCGCCTGTCTGTAACCGAGGCTCGACCACCCAGCTCTGACCACCTGCAGCAACATCGGAGGAGCGCGAGTCAGGAGTGGTTCGAGCAATTGGAGATGACCATTGGCCGGAGCTTAGTAGTCACCGGGGAAGGCTGATCGGCAAATTGATTGAAAAGCGGCGGATGGGTTTTGGGAATTAGGGTTCAGCGGAGAGCGATTTTTTTGTGTCGTTATTATTATTATTATTATTTGCTAAAATGAATAAATGTTTTTTATATAAATCACAATTGTCTCTATGTCGATGCTTAGTTTTTTCCTTGTTGTCATGCATCGGGCTATATTTTGTTAATTAATTGTCTTGATTCGTATAGTCGTGATTGTTAACATTCAAGTTTGAATTGTGGACATTGACGCCTCTCTTCACATTCGAATGGTACCAAAACTTATTAATATGTAATTCGTTTAACCATACTGTGCATGGTTTTGGTCACTATTGTGCAATCTGAATCGATTGAACTTTTGTCTGAAACCAATCAAAATCGAATCGACATATTTGATTTATTCAGTCGGTAACCGAATTAACCAAAATAACTAAAACAAAATATTATTTATATTATAAAATATATTTAATACTTTTAATATCTATAATTTACATTTGATACATATATATATATATATATATATATATATATTTGCTAGAATGATATTTTTTATATAAAAATATAAATACGGTATTGAACCTAAATAATTTAATTGGAAGTAATAACATATAATTGAATATAAATACCTGAAATTTTAGAAGTGAAAAACATATATTGTTCCGACAGTAAACATTCGGACCGAATTTTTTTTTTTCGGTTGATATTGTGCAGTATGGCGATCTTTAATGTGCAATTTGTATAACTATATTGTGCATTGTTTCAGCCAGTGTTGTGCAATTTGAAATCAAACTGAAATACTTGGTACAATTTTATTGTGCATATTCATACGGATTAATGTGCATTTTATTTATGAGTATTCCCCATTTTTTCAATTTTTAATAAATTACAAATTAGACTCATGGACTAAATTGTAATATAACTAAAATTGAAAGAATTGCAACTAAGCCCCTATACCTAATCAAAAATTTGAAATACAACACAAGCCCAACAAATTAAAACCTGCGTCAGTCCCAGGCAAATCACCCGTCCGTGTCGCCGGTGCTCCGCCTAGCTGTGCTGAGACATGCTAATTCATCTCCGGTTGACCGAGAACCGCCGCGAATCGCTCCGGATGAAGAGAATGGATGCGCTGGTTCGCGTCGCTGGAAGAGGCGGTTGCCGTTTGAAACCGCCGGGAGGACTGTTAACACAGCAAGCGGCTCCGTGTGCGTCATCCGAACCGGAAATTGGAGCGTCTGCCAGGCGGCGACATATACGGTCCTCCGAGGCGGCGTGCTGAAACCAATGACAGATCTCGTCGGTGGACGATTTGCCAGACATAATCGACGCTTCAGATCTTCACGGAGAAGTAGGGGCGGAGGCAGACTAACGGCGGAGGCGGACTGACGATGGCGGATGGCGCTGAAAAGGGGCAGGCCAAGGACGGCGGTGCTCTGTGTGTGTGTGTGTGCGTGTGTATGCGTGTCTGTGTGTGTGTGTGGGTGAATGTGTGTTATGTGCTGGTGTGTGTGTGTGTGTGTGTGTGCGTGTGTTAGGTGTATATGGCATTGTGATGTGGATGGTGATGTGGCATGTAAATGTCCAAATTACNATGTGCGTGTGTGTGTGGTATTGATAAAAAAAATATCATTAATGTTTATTGCGTATAAAATACATGTCTATTTTAAATAATTAAGATTGCTAATTTTTTATTATTAGTTGTATATATTTTTATTATCATTCTATTATAAGAATATAAATTTCTTTATTGATTTATTTTGATACAAATATTTATTTTAATGCACTCTTGTTTTTCATGGACGTTATACCAGCTACGGAGTAAATTAATTATTCTATTTAATTTTTCAAAAAATGAATATATCTTAAATAAAATAAATATTTTTTTAAAAAATAATTTTCTATTATTTGAAATAATATTAAAGATATTTTACTTTCTTATTACTTATTTGTAGTTTTTATTTTACAATAAGAATTTTATTTTATTTTTTTCATTCTTTGTTGCACAATATTTTTTATTAAATACCTGTATAATTCACGAGCGTTGTACTAGTTATCATTTAATGTGGATTACGAGAGAGAAAGTGTGTCATATTCTTGGAACTTGGAAATATTCTTGAATTTCTTTTTGAATAAAATAGCGTTGGAAATATTGGTAAAACCTAATAAAGTGGAAGATTTTAAAGAAACAAACGTTATACATGTCTTTTAGACAAACACAAATTCTATGGAGCCATCATATGGTTTTCTTATGAAGTCATTCATCACTTAATGTATTGACACCTATCCATAGTATATTTATTGCAGGACACGTGTCAATGCACTATTCACATGAATAAGTGTGGATGATTTCATAAATCGTGTCAGTCGATGGCTTCATAGCAAAACTGTTTAGACAAATATTCATATGTGGACGATTAGATAAAGACAAGGTTTAGGTTGTAGGATGTAGAGTTGAAAACTAAAATTTTGTTTCCGCCGATCGATGGTTGAAAAGGATGTAGACTTGAAAATTAAAATTTTGTTTCCGCCGATGGTTGAAAAGTTCAAAATTTAAATTCGGTTCGAACAAGAAAAACCGCTTATTTTATTTTATTTTATTTTTTTTAAACGTAGGTTGAATCGGAACCGAAACCACAATTAATGGTCCCCCTCGTATATTCAATGGGCCCGAACCGGTGGTCCGCTCGGAACCAGGTCAGCCCTATAGCCGTATAAAGGTATTGAATGCGAATTTTCGCTCTAACCACCCAAACCCTAGCTGTAGATCTATCCTCTCTCTCTCACTCCTTTTTATGTCTTGGCCGAATTTTTCTCCTGCTCTGTATTTGTTTCCTTTTTTTTTTAATGTTTTATTTCACCCGATCTCTTCCAATTTGAGATTTCCTACTCTCAGGCATCCATATATCTGATACCACGGCCCGAATTTCCTAGGCGTTTTGACCCGAAGTTCTTTGCTTCTAAGATCCGAATCCGAGATAGCTCAGAGAAGAGGTCTGATGGCTGGCCTTTCCGTAGAGGAAAAAGGAAAGACTTTTCATTGTTCCCTCAGTCGATTGAAAATCGTCTCTTTACCCCTCGTCTTCTCCACAATTTATTCTCAGTTTTCCTTTCCTTTTATTTAATTCATTCATTATATATATATTTTTTCCAATTCTGATATGTTACCCAGCCCGCCGAGTACTGCCATGAACTACTAGTCCACCACCTCAGCCCGACTCGGTGCCGGCCAACCAATCAGATCTGGCGTGTTAAATCGTGGTACGCAACTCTTTACCATTCAATCGTTATTTTAGTTCCTTTGTGATGGTCTCTCTATCTCTTTCATATTGCTGGAAGGCTCTGCTTTATTATTAGTATTATTATTATGGAATTTAAAAATCTGATCTGTATTTGTAATTACTCATAATTTTTGGTTTTAGTCAATGTTGACTTATGTGGAATGCTTCAAGAATATGAAATGGCTTCTATGTTTGTTCTAGTGGTAGAGCTGCTGTTACAATTGTTCTACAGTTACACATATATTAACTTACAATTACCAACATTTAAATTTATACATCTGTTTATTCATTTGTAGTTTTAGTAAATTTGCACATCAAATTTGTTTCATTGTTTGGTTATTTTGTTTGTTAGTGATGTAACTTTCCTAGTTCATACTTCACGCTTTCATTTGATACATCTGTTTCCAGATTCATCAGTTTATGATACAATGAGCTTAACTAGAGATTGAAACGCAAATTGATAATTTGCTAATGAATAATGTGCAGGTCGGTTAGCAGGATGAAGAAGAGTTGGACAGGTGTGTAATGAGCAATTTTAAGGGCTGCATATTAGTTGAGATGTAAATATTAATATTAATGAAACATCTTATGAAGTGATTCTCTCTTTGTAGGAAACAATTTATAATACCAATATCGAATGATATTGAGGAATACAACTCAGGTATTTATTCCTTCGTATCTTTTAACTTTGTCCTAATTTGCCACTTCAGAATATTTGTCATCCTCATAAACATAGCAAAAAGGTACTCCATAGAAAAAAACTACACAACTGAAACCATCTTACTTAAGGTATCTTACTTAAGGTATCAACCTCTATGTATATATATACATAGAGGTAAAAATGGGGCTGCTCCAATAAACCCACACATATACACATATGAGTTGAGCTAGTTTACTGAAATATTAATCTAAAAATTTCANTCTCCATCCCTTCTCCCTTCTCTGGTCTGAGTCCGAATCAACTGTTAATCAATTCATAGGCATATAGGTAATAACAATAGCAAAACTAAATAACTAATTTCTAAGTGATTCATGAACATTATAAAATATAATAACAAAAGTATATACTTAAATGAAGAACTTTTAACTGAGCAGCTTAACATTCTAGCTATATTGTGTCGTTCGGTCTGAGCATATTGAATATGCATGTCTGTTAAACCAAAAGAAAGAATGATGAATTTTAACCTGAATCTAGTACAATATTTAAAAATAAATTATTTAAAACTTGAATTGAAAAAGAGGTTACCTCGGTTTGTTATAGATGAACTCCTACAGGGTAAAACATACTTCCTGCAACATTCCTCCTCACTTTGGTGAACACTTTGTGGCCCCACGTATCACCACCCGAGTTTTGCACTCTATAATAATTTTGATCGTTCTGGACGCCATAACCTACCAAAACAACATGTCTTCCTCTTTCGTCTTCATCCTCCCTTTTGTCTTCATCCTCATCGATAGTAGAGACTGTGTATATTTCGTTTTCTGGAACCCAATATTTAAAGCTGTTACAAAATCAAACCGATGTTACTAGTGGCTGCTTGGAAAGGTGTTGTACCACTTTTGGAAAGTCATTACAATTGATCTCCTCAAAGTCTGTTATGAAAATTTTCCACTCCTAGAAACAGAAATGGATTATTAGTCGTACACAAAATTTAAAGTTGGTTGAACATTCAAATTAAAAAATATTTGAAAAACTTACAGGTTTTCTTGTCGATTCTACCTTTACGACATTTTGGTGGTACATCATCTTGAATTGGTATTGATACTCGTGGAAGAGACTATATTCTTTGATATAGGCAAAAACCTTTCTAAAGTGGGTGGGCAAACCTCTAAGTTGAATAGAATGTACTGTGGGATTTGTTGCATGTGGTAGAAAGTCAATCAGTTCCTGCACCGATCCTTCCGATGCTGCTTTAGGATTGTTTCCAAAAAGATTTATCGATCCCCCTAATTGATTGTCAGCCAACATTGGGGTATAAGTTCGCAAAGAGAACGTTTACAATAGCGAAAGCACAACATGAATCTTTGCTAAATGAAAACAAGACTTATTAAGACTGGATATACAAAGCCTACATTTAAGTTATTTTAAAATTAACATATTTTGAAATATACGTGTCTTTCCTTGATTCCCGATGCTTAAAACATGATTGTGTTGGTCCTTTGGACAACAAAATGTTGCCTACAAAATAAAACAATACAACCAGATTTGTTATTAATGTTTAAGAAACAAAAAATAAAAGAGAAGAGAAAAACAAAACAAACAGAAAATGAAATATTTACTTGATTAAAAAAAGGGTCGTTTTTCAGGTCAGGAGCTGTCTGGAGGCTGAAGCGACACACGAACACACACACACAAAAAAAGAGTAAATTATGGGTATTAGGTGTACTAAGTGTGTAGGGTTACATTTTTTCAGTGTGGTTCAAGTTTGAGTATATTATAGGTGAAATAAACATTTTTTCAGTCTTAGAGTATATTATAAGTGAAATAAATAAAAGTTTTGTCTAACTATAGCTTATCACATTGTAGAATGTTTGCATTGCAATCAATATCTATTGTTAATAATGTTGGCCTTCTTGCTATTAACACATGTTAATAGCATTTTGATAGCAAGAAGGCCAACACAACATTTTTTTATGTTGATTTGTGGTAGGGTTCGTAACATATGAATGAAACCAAGTTAGATTCATAAAGTGAAATTGTTGTAAGACGATATTGATTGCAATGCAGACATTCTACAATATAATAAGCTATAGCTATACCAAACTTTTATTTATTTCACTTATAATATTCTCTAAGACTGAAAAATATTTGTTTAACTTATAATATACTCAAGATTGAACCACACTGAAAAAATGTAAGCCTACACACTTAGTACACCTAATACCCATAATTTACTCTTTTTTTTCTTGTGTGTGTGTGTCGCTTCAGCCTCCAGACAGCTCTTGAACTGAAAAACGATCATTTTTTTAATCAGGTAAATATTTTCTTTTTTGTTTGTTTTGTTTTTCTTCTCTTTTATTTTTTCTTAAACATTAATAACAAATCTGGTTGTATTGTTTTATTTTGTAAACAATGTTGGCCAAGGGACCACCACAATCATGTTCTAGGCATCGAGCATCAAGGAAAGACACGTATATTTCGAAATATGATAATTTTGAAATAACTTAAATGTAGGCTTTGTATATCGAGTCTTAATAAATCTTGTTTTCATTTTGCAAGATTCATGTTGTGTTTTCGCTATTATGAACGTTCTCTTTGCGAACTTATACCCAATGTTGGCTGACAATCAATTAGAGGCTCGATAAATCTTTTTGGAAACATTTCCTGAAGCAGCATCAGAAGGATCGGTATTGAATTTCTACCACATGCAACAAATCCCACTATACATTGTATTCAACTTATTGGTTTGCCCACCCACTTCAGAAAGGTTTTTGCCTATATCAAAGATATAGTCTCTTCCGCGAGTATCAATACCAATTCAAGATGATGTACCAACAAAATGTTGTAAAGGTGGAATCGACAAAAAACCCCGCAAGTTTTTTAATTTGAATGTTCAACCAACTTTGAATTTTGTGTACGACTAATAATCTATTTCTATGAGTGGAAAATTTTCATAACAGGCTTTGAGGAGATCAATTGTAATTACTTTCCAAAAGTGGTACAACGCCTTTCCAAGCAGCTACTAGTAATGTCGGTTCGATTTTGTAACAGTTTAAATATTGGGTTCCAGGAAACGGAATATATACAGTCCCTACTATCGATGAAGACAAAAGGGAGGATGAAGACGAAAGAGGAAGACATGCTGTTGTTTTGGTAGGTTATGGCGTCAAGAACGATAAAGATTATTACATAGTGCAAAACTCGGGTGGTGATACGTGGGGTCTCAAAGGGTTCATCAAAGTGTGAAGGAATGTTGTACGAAATATGTTTTACCTGTAGGAGTTCATCTGAAACAAACTGAGGTAACCTGTTTTTCAATTCATGTTTTAAATAATTTATTTTTAAATATTGTATTAGATTTAGGTTATAATTCATCATTCTTTCTTTTGGTTTTAATAGGCATTTGTATTTAATACGCGCTCAGACCGATTGACACAATATAGCAAGAATATTAAGTTGTTCAGATAAAAGTTCTTCATTTAAGTATATACTTTTGTTATTATATTTTATAATGTTCGTGAATCACATAGAAATTAGTTATTTAGTTGTACTATTGTTATTACTTATATGTGTATGAATTGATTAGTAGTTGATTCGGACTCAGACCAGAGAAGGGATGGAGAAAGAAGGAACACTTTTTTACCTCTATTTTTTTGTTGAAATTTTTAGGTTGATATTTCAGTAAACTAGCTCAACTCATATGTGTATATGTGTGGGTTTATTGGAGCAACACCATTTTTTCCTATTATGAAGATTGATACCTTAAGTTAGATGGTTTCAGCTGTGTAGTTTTTTTCATGGAATACCTTTTTGCTATGTTTATGAGGATGACAAAAATCTATGTGCACCCCACTAAGGAGTGTATAGTCAAAACACTGTTTTAATCAACTATTCGTGGGAAATTTGAAAATCTTACTGAAGTTGCGTAGGAGCTACATTACATCAAGACATTGTAATGTGAAGCAAAAAACTATTATGAAAAGACAATATCAGAAGAACTTTTGTTTCTTCAAATCTATTTTACATCTTACCCCTTCTAAAAAAAACCATCCTATCATGCTTCTGATTCCTGAAGCTACCCTAACATGAACTTTACCGAACTTGATGACAACTGGCTAAGATAATTATCAATTGTTAACTGCAATCTTCCAAGAGACTAGTACAAAACTCAGGGCATTGCATTAGTTCATTTTCAATCCACAAGTGCATAGACAAGATTAAAACAACGATTTGTTTCTCATTTTTCCATTAAATTAAACTAAAGATTGACATATAATATCGACTTAGAAATCAGGATTACTTGCTATTCGTCATAAACAAGATGTGAAGGGGTAAATACCATAGGAAACAAAAAATTCAAGCAAAATAAGTAGAGAAGTGGAAGGTAGCCTACGTTACTGATAGGCTGTGCGTCTGTTGGCGGTGGGTGGACGACGGTACAGGCGGTGGCGGCGGATCGGAGGGGAAAGAACAAGGCGTGTAGGTTAAAGAGACGATGGGTTACAGAGCGAGAAAGAATTGGGAGAATTTCATAAAAGGGCCTGGTCTAAATTTCAGAGAATGCATTAATACAGCTCGTTTACTTTGGAAGATTAGCTTATATGTCTCAGCTAGTACAACCAAATCATTTGTTTTTTTGGAATTACTGCAGCTCGTTTATAAATCCTTAGCCCGAGGGGTTTTAAAATGAGAAAATTACTCTAAGCACGATCCTTTTCAACTTTTATTGCATAAATACATAACATTAATTTTATTAGCAAAAGTAACGCAAAGTTACATTATATTTGTATATATACGATTTAAATTGAAAAGTGATTGGCAATTTCATTTATTATTATTTAACATGTTAGGCAACATGTGGATTTAATGGGATCGTTACCAAAACAATCAACACTTTTCTTGGTTGTAGTTATCAATTCTCCTCTCTAATCAGCTATTTTATCTCTACAATTAATCTTCTCTCGCCGGAAAAAACTGGGACCCAAGAAAAAGAATGCTGAAAAATAATATCCCTCTCAAGGTCGACGACAAGAAAATATACAAGAAATATACACTCGAAATTCTCGTAATTCAAATCAGCGACATATCGGGACACACATCTACATAAAAGATACTTTAATTATACACTCGAGTTGCAATCATTTCTCAAAATCGTTTTGAGAACCCACATATACATAAAATATACTTAAGATATACACTCGATTCTTGAACTGCGGATCTCGTTCAGAACCTACATATACATAAAATATACCTAAGATATACACTTCAGCCGGCCTGCGACGTCGTAGTTTTAGATGAGGGTGATGAACATATTTTCGCCGCATTTGATCCTTGAATTGTGGATCTCGTTCAGTAGGTGGTCCATTGGCTCGAACACGCGCAAGTGGGAGAGCTTGTGGACGATTGCGTGGTTGGTGTCGTATGTGTGGCGGAAGGCAGGGTGGTGGTCGCCGGCGTAGTGGAAAATCTGGAGGACAAGATCGAGGTTTTGCGGTGGGTGATGATGCAGTAGAGGTGCTTGGGGGTTAGTTTCTGCGGTTTGCGGTGGATACGTTGGTGATTGGCTGGAGGATCGGCGCGTTTGGGGCGGTGGTGCGGGGATATTGAAACGGTAAATTTGTACTCTCGCAATTTAAGGATACTGATCGATGATGCAGTAGAGGCGCTTGGGGGTTAGTTTCTGCGGTTTGCGGTGGATACGTTGGTGATTGGCTGGAGGATCGGCGCGTTTGGGGCGGTGGTGCGGGGATATTGAAACGGTAAATTTGTACTCTCGCAATTTAAGGATACTGATCGATATTTTGAAGTAACATAAATGTTGCATTATCACAAATAATTCCATGCATTTGGTAAGTTTACAAAAAATTTGTAACCATTTGTAATGTTGCAATATTCGTTATATCGCTGTGTATACATAAAATTTTCCCTTTTAAAATTCATCGATCACTTTTGGTGATAATTTTGTCAAGGCCCAGCAGGTGGGATTTAATTGTTCCCAACTTTAATAGACTAATTGTCCCCAACTTTAAAATCTATCGTTACTTTTGGGGGACATTTTTGATATTGCACGTGAATATCAAGTTAGTCCCAACAAATTGTCTTTAAATGTAAACGTTTGACAAAAAAACAATTCGATCTTTAGAAAAGTTTATATCACAGCTAATAAACATGAGATAATTTAATCTAAACGTACATAATTAATAGGAGATAATTTAATCTAAACGTACATAATTTAATCTCAAGATTATCTCATCCCAATAGTAAACGAGCCCTAATAGGATAGGACTGGTTGGCTTGACTATGAAACATCTCTACATAATTTTAATGAAGTTGTATAAAAATTTAAAACAATAAAATTTTAATTTTTATAAAATAATAGTGATCTATATTATTTCATAAAAATAGTCATGTTATACTTTTTTAAAATAATAACAAAATAGCAAAATTTAGTACCACAACAAATGATAGGAAGTAGCAAATTCTCAAGTCCCATATGCCACATGCACTGGTTACCCAAGTAATGGTTTACTTTTTTTTTTTTAGGAAGTTGCATGTAACATCACGGCTTTGAATTATTATTTCTTTTGGTGCAAATCTTTCATTGCGTTCTTTTGATTGCTCTATTAATCACTCCCATTAAAATACTTCTGAAACTCTGACCCAAAAAAAAAAATTAAAAAAAATCACTATTATTGATGTTCTGCTATTGCACANAGTGCACTAAATTAAGCACGAGCTAATAATATCAATACCCAAGAGTGAATCTATATAGATATTACACAAATATTCAACAATATATAATTAACAAACGAGAAAAACAAACCTCATTGGGGGTCATTGGCGTCTATCACTCATCTTCTCCGGGGCCCTCATAAAAGATTTAAATAATTATATTTTTTCGATCTAATATTAATAGGTAATATAAAAACTCATTTAAAACTACTTCATTCAATATAGATATATACTCTATTTTATTAATTAAATTTATGCTATTAAAGAATGATAAAATGTATTTTGAATGATATAATAGAAAAGTAATACATGTATGAATTAGTTAAAAACTCATTTAAAACAGCAAAGTACCAAATTTACGGAAGTATCTTAGGATATACTCCCATAATAATATGATAGAGTTAATACGTAAATTTATGGGAGGCAATAAATTTATGGTAATGAAAGAGATATTTGTAGGATGCAATAATGTAAGATGAAATAATTATTTATGGTTGATTCCAAGTCGATTATGTTTCTAAATTTTTTATCTGAACCTAAATACGAAGCATAATAATTTTACACATATGATTCCAAAACGTGTGATCATGCCACTTAGGCTCATGTTTTGAATTAATATATAGGGGGAGGGGATTGTTTTGGATTCATGTTCCGATATAAATAACATTATTTGTAATTTTGTTAAGTATGCATAATTTTGTCCCAATTTATCTTTCTCAAATCAAACTATACCATACAAAACTTATATTATTTATTCTAATTCATTTCATTTGTTAAATTTATTAAATTTTTGTCATATTTAAAAAGTTAATAAATTGTTTATATGTATTTAGTTTTTCAGATATGATTGATCAGATTTTTACGATCATCGATTGACATTCATATCACATATAAAAATTTAAAATTAATTTCATCTTTCTTTATAAATAAAACTAATTTTTTTTATTACATCAAATAAAAAATAACAAATGGAACTATATATTATGTCATAAAATTTTAAAAAATTTAGATAAATATGTTTTTTCTTTTTTAATACTTTGAAGAGAAAGATCAGAGATTAGTATAAGCATAGAATGAATAGAGAAATATTCTAAAACTTATGTCTTCACTTAATTAAAGTATGCAAAGGATTTAACGTTATCATGATGTTCAAAAAATAAAAATAAAAATAGAAGTAAATATTAAATCAATGATAATAAAAATTAATTATAATTCATAAAGTAATATGATGTTATGTTGATAAGCATTAGTTTATATTTTAAATTATCAAATACCATGAATTAGACGATATAATAAACAAGGATAATTTATTGTGTTACGATTTTAATATTTTATATGATATTTAAAATAATATCTATAAACAATCATACATGATACAACAAGTACTTTCCAATATTAAAGTTGAAAGCTTATTTTTTCAAATACAAAGAATGAAGTCTATTTGTTAGACCCATAATAGATTACATTATTTCGAAGGAAAATAATGAAAAAGAAGAATCTAATTTTTAAAAAATGGATACTTTCACAAATACAACCTAATAACAAACCGAAAAATATTGAACAAAAAAATTCAAGAAACAAGTAAGGAATTAGGACTAAAATATATAATGAGTTATAACAAAGATAAAGTAAGAAATTGGATAAAACGAAAGTTCAGAGAAACTGAGTTGGTATACAAGGCAATCCACAAAAATCAAGAGCAAATGAGAACACTCATACTCTAGATCCTTAGAAAATGTGTAAGACAATCAACACAACTTTGGGCAAAAAATAATATAGAGAAACTTCAAGATAATCAAGATTTAATTATTGAGAAACTCAATAAGACAAGTAGAAATACTTATTTTCTCGATACCTTATTTGTAAAAACGATTGATATCGCTGCAAACCTTTATAAAATCCTAGAAAGCGTTAATAAAATTAATGTAAATAGATTAGAGAAAACTCTAATAAAATTAGATGGAAAAATTCCACAAGTTACCAACACTATAAGTCTGTAACACAACCAAGCTACGACTCACCACATACGTTAAACAAATAACTAAAAATCTACATAAAATAAACCAAAGCAAATAAGTAATAATCCCAAGCTACAGACAGGACTTAACATCAACACATTTCGTCGTCGTCGTCACTGTATTCGATATGTCCCATCTCCGTGCTACTCCAACTCTGTGTGTTCTGCCTTTTTTCATGTCTACTCTTCTTTTTCTTCTTCTCCTATTACACACAACCCATTAGAATTAGGAAAAAAAAAATGGATCGACACATTAAATTAACAGGGAGATAAAAAATCAATATTCAAAATATACGTATAGATGTCAATAAACGAAAAGAATCAACCTCATAGGGGGCCAGGACAAAGATACGGGTGTCATTTTTGTCAGTCATCTCATCTTTACTCGAGCCCTGATAAAACATCCAATCTAACACTTTTTTATCCTTAGCAGCAGGATAATCAGGATACACTTGTGCCACAATAGTTTCTGTTCTGGGAGCATCAACAGTGGAACCAATCTCCTCAACAGTCATGGACACAACAACAACATTGGGTGAATCAACGACAGCCTTGTTTATACCCACTAACTTGTATGTTCTGCCATTCTGCAACATTTTACTATTATAAGGGGGCCACCTACCAGCATAATATTTGAAACAAATAAAAAAAATAGTAATGATATATGATATATCTCAGCTATCATCAATTACCATCTGCCAAATTTCCATATATCGAGATAATTTCAAGTAACACCACATTGTAATGAAACTACAAAGGTTCCTTAACATCTGAAGCAATTCAAAAGTAGCGCCAGAATAATATAAGAGAAAGAAAAAAGCAAACATTAATTCATAACACATATAGATACACAAAAATTTGTTGATTATAATTAGGATATATGCGGATTGATGGATAGATACATCATACATACGGTGGTGGCAGCAGTCTTGGAGTAGGCAGTCTGGTCATTGATACTTTTGAGGGCGGAAAGTGCAGAAGTCATCATTCTATTATAGGTGGCCTCGTCATATTCTTTGCACAACAACTCTGGAAAGATATGTCCCCCAGTGCCCACCACCCAACTATGAGGAAAACAGGTGAGATCAAAAGCCTACAAAGCCCAATTTCATCAGGAACAAAGGATCAGTGTGTTTTTTATTTTCTTCCACATATCAAAGTTGTTAAAGAATATGTACACAGCATAAGATTCTTACCAACCACTGAAAAAATTCATTCTCAAGCAAATGCAGATTGTAAAACATAAAGATTAAACCTTTAATAGCATTGACGTAAGAAAACCCAATCCAATCCCTAATTTAACAACAATTGACCCAACCATTTACAAGTAACAGATAGTACAAAAGAGAAAAATCCTTGAAGAAAAAACAGATGAAAAAAAAAAAGGATTGTGTGTGTGTACCTTGGTCTTGTCGACAAGCTTGGAGTAAGCAGCATGTGCTTCTGGAGAGCTGAAACTCAAGCGAACTATGCCGGGTTCAATATTGATGTTCCACTCGCGGTCACTGTCGCTGTCGGTGGTGTATTCAAGGTCGTCATCCTCCATATCAACCTCCGTCTTCCCCCTTTTCTTATCTCTAATCCTTTTCTGCTTCAATTTGGGTACAAATTAACAAGAATTTTAAATTGAATTCTCTAATTTAAGAATCAGAACATACAGAATAAGAATAATCGAGAAACGAAAACAAACCTCGGTCTCCTTGGGATCTTCGGTAGCGTTTACATCTAAACGGCATTCCATGCTTCCCTCTCTCCCTTCGCTCTCGTAGCCTCAACAATCAACAAGTCTCCAATGTCCCCGCCGTTTTTTCTTTCGGCGAAATGACTTATTCTCAATATATATTTTTTTAAATGGGAAATGACTTTTTTCAATTTTTTTTTTTTTATTAAATGACCCATCCGTATAATTTTTGAATGTACTAAACCTAAGTTGCGCAAGATTCAAGTCCTATTTGACAAAGTTTTATGATTAGTCACTTGTTTTTGATAACTTTAAATTTATTTTCAGTTCATAAATAATTAGGTTTGAAATAATTCATAGATATACTGAATATTTATGATTATTTTATGAGCATTATTTGTATTTTAATATAATTTCTTATTAGTTTATAACGAATGAAATTTTTTTTCTCAATCTTTCTTCTTCTTCCAATCCTTTATTAATTATTAGTACGATAGGAATCACGTGTAATGCATGGGTAAAAAATACTCAGTAACCAATCTTTACAAGTTAAAAATATGAAATCAATATGTAATACAATTTACTGATATTAATTTATTTTATGAAATTAAATAAGAAAAAAAAATAGTTTCTAAATGAAAACTGAAGTGATTTAAAACAACATACACAATCACCAAGAACATCGTGTAAGTTAACAAGACTTTGTGGAGATGCAATTAAAAATAATGTTTGTATCAAGTTCGTTATAACGAAACTTATTTATACAAGCATACTTGTTTCTTTATAGAAATAGACATAAGGAGGAAATCTGTTGAACACTAACGAAATTGTTAGATTAACTACGACATAACATTTTTCTTTCATCACATAATAATTACTTTTTATAAAATGTAGATTTTATAGTACCGGGTTTGTTAGATTAACCGAGAGATAATATTTTTTTTGCGGTCATATAACAATTATCGTTTAGAAAAAAAATAATTTTGATTTTATAGTACTGAATTATTCATAACGAGATATTTTTTTGTACAATAATGATGCATGTCCCATTGTGGAAAGATACATAACAATACTTGTCCCTATGATACAATATTATTATAGCAATACTTATTTATACAATAACAGTACATGTCTCAGTTGTCCCTATGATGCAATATTATTATAGCAATACTTATTTATACAATAACAGTACATGTCTCGTTATAGAAACAGACATAACGATGAAACCGGTCAAACACTTTTCATGAGTCACACGAGTCGTGTGACACCTCACGACTGGTGTGGAAATACAAAAGGCTCTTTGCACCCATTTCTGATTACGTACAGTTATAACGAGACTTGTTTATACAATAACGATGTCTTGCTATAGAAACAGACATAATCATACTTGTCCCTATGAAGAAATGCTAGAAGGAGACATTTAAAAAAAACGATGCATATCTTGTTTTAGAAACAACGATAGTTGTTCATGTGATGAAATACTATTATAACCAAACTTGTTTATACAATAACGATAGTATCTGATGTAGGGAAACGTACGACTGGAAAGGATAAACGAGATACTCTTTCGATGAAACTCACAATCTTATTTTTATTCCATAATCAACCGAAGTACACCAAAGAGAATGAGTCATTTAAATAATGCTCCTAAAATCCTAATACTAACTTATCCAACAAACAAGAATCCCACTAATAATAATAATAATAATAATAATAATAATAATAATAATAATAATAATAATAATAATAATGAGGGAAACAAATAATTAGATTGAAGATTCTAAACATCCTTATCTCCATCATTCTCCCCCTGTCGAAAAGGATTCTCCCTCGAATCCGAAGCAATCTCATCTTCAACTGCTCCACAATCCCGACCGGGCCAATTTGACGGGCCATGAACTTGGTATACTCACAAGCAAAAAATCTATGACAGCAACTCTCCACTTTGTCCTTTTTAGGCACACTATGCGAATTATCAGACACAAATGCTTGTTGAATAAAAAACCATGAAAATCCATCTTCCAATTCACTGAAAACATCCATTCCAGGCACAACCTCTAGCCTCACAAATGATTCTACAACCACATGGTACTCGTCCTCCATCGACGCTACAAGTGGCTCCTCATAAAAAACGGGTAGACCCTCATAATCGGTCGAGCCCTCGATATCAAAAATAGGTGGACCCGTATATTCGGTCGACCCCTCGTCAAAACGAGGCGAACCCTCATATTCGGTCGACCCTCGTGTGTCCACAAAGGCCCCTGAAAATTCAAGGATTTCGACTTGGAATGATGACTTCCAATGCCGATCGTCGTCTTGCTGCGCCTGTCGGAAGCCGAAGGGGTTGACCTCCGACAATGTTTCTTCGCCGTCGTCCTCGCCGTGCATCGGTGGTGGCGTACGCTGACGGGGCCCTCTTCCACCATGACTTCGGCGATAACCCCCGCGACCGCCCCGACCGGCCAAGTTGCGGTTCGTTTGCTTGTCTCGAACCATGGTAGCGATAGTTAGACGTATGTCCTCGATCTCCGCATACAGATCTGCAATCTCACGACCCATCATCTCGAGCTAGCGGCCAAACCACTCGGTCTGGCGGCTCAGGTTGTAGATGGCGGCGACGCGCCTGTCGTTTGCAACATCTTGTCGTCGCGACAACATCGTGAATCGTGCTGACTTCTGATACCAACTGATGTATGAAAACGTACAAGTGGGAAGGATAAACGAGATACTCTCTCGATGAAATTCACAATCTTATTTTCATTCCATAATCAACCGAATTACACCAAAGAGAATGAGTCCTTTAAATAATGCTCCTAAAACCCCTAATACTAACTTGTCCAATAAGACAAGAATCTTACTAATAATAATAATAATAATAATAAAGAGGAAAACAAATAATTAGAATGAAGATTCTAAACATCCTTATCTTCATCAGTATCGTTATAGAAACAGGCATAAGGATACTCGTTCACGTAATGGAATACTATTATAACGAGACTTATTTATACAATAAAGATACATATCTCGTTATAGAAAACATGCATAACGATACTTGTCCATGTGATGAAATACTATTATAACCAAACTTGTTTATGCAATAATGATACATGTATCGTTATAGAAACAAACATAAGGATATTTGTCCACGTGATGAAATACTATTATAATGATATTTATTTATACAAAAACAATACATGACTCGTTATAGAACAGAGGTGAAGATACTTGTTCATGATAAACTGGCGTAATATTTAACAAGTTCTCGAAATATTTGTCTTTACAAATTTTTCCAAATGAAGTTGGATATGATTTCCCAAGAGATTCTTACACATCAATGAACATTAAAATCCTAAAGAAAACTATGGATCAAAATGTGAAGCAAAAATCTTAGCGGCTAGTTTCTCACAACACCACCAACAGGGAATCACTTTTCCATCAATGCCTTTAACATCCAACCTGGCATGCAAAAACTCAATGACCTTCATTGTAAACATCCATATATTGGTCACGATTCTTGAATATATGGCATGTATATTGAACACATACTCCATTTTGGTTCCTACAAGCTTGAGAGTTTTTTTTTTCGAAAAAAAAATAATGATTGTTCGGTCGTTTTATATACAACATAACGAAATGTCTCTCTCTATGAATATTTTGCTATATTGTGCATACAAATGTAAAAAAATAAAGGCAAAGCTATTTTAAGTGCAAGATAATAATATATGAATGGTTATACAATTATATGCATGTGTTCACTACTAGTTGCCTTCAACTGTTTTCCTAAATATGATGGAACTTATTATATGCAGGACTACTGGTCACAAGGTAACATGTAAAGTTAGAATGAAGCACGTTGAGAAACTCACACAATTACATAAACATGTCATCTGCAAAAATGAGACGCTAGAGGCTAACATAACATCTAAGTATAGCAAAGAGGACTAGGACTGTGACCTGAACAACAAATGATGAGAACCACCAAAACACAGAAGGGAACCCAACAGCCTTCTTTTCTTTCAAGAGCAGAATAACAAAAGGAATGGTGGAGGTACTGAGATAGAAATGCACAATGACAAAAGAAAAATTATTTGATACATTCCAGAAAATCAGTTCCGTCACATGATATTCTAGCATAATACGCATGTATCTTATAATACAAGAATAGAAAAGAGTGAATAGGAGCCGCATGATTTCCTCGTTGGTCTTGTCATTGTTAAACTTTACTTTCAGTGCTAATTAGAAGAGTTAAAAGGGATAGAATTAAAACATAACGAATCTACATCCAAAAACTCAGAGTGTACGCGCTAGGAGATGAGCATATAGATCATGACAAGCACTCATATGTAAAGAGCATTTGATAAGCAATCAAGGACACAGGTAAAATACTTACATGTAGGTAGCAATTCTCCTACTCCTCAATGTTTTGAGTTGCAACACGACAAGAGGAAACAATGCAAGTCTCATTGCCACATTAGATGATGATATTATAAACCACCTACAAACTTAATTTGATTCATTAAGCTTCCAACAGAGTACAAGCCACACCAATAAATCGGTGAATTCTAAATGTCTTCTCCAATCAAAAGAAATAGGCCTTAAAACTGAGATCATGATTGAGTCAAATAAACAAAACAGAGATAAATAGCCATTTCAACACGCCTGAAAGTACTCAGAGTTTGAAAAAACACAAGCATGGAGTTCGAGTCCAATCACGATCATGTATACATATACAATTGTGGGTGTGCTAACGAACAGTGACAAGAATCGAGCAGGGATATGAGAGCTCCTACTGGAAGAATCGGATCATCTAATTTGGGGAAATCGGGCTGAGTCGAAAATCAACGAGCAAATGAAACGCAATGATGAGGCGAGGAGGTGTAGTGGCCCAAAAAAAAAAAAGAAAGAAAGAAAGAGTGAAACAAACATGTTATTGAACCAGATTCTATCACATGGGTAAAACTAATAAGTCAAGCGGGGATTAATCAAGTCCATTACACATTTGCAACCAAACTCACCCATATTGTTGAACCCATGCATCACGAACTACAAACAAGGGATGAGTTCCATGATAACGTAACAAGCTTACACAACTGAGTAGGTTAGCTGCTGGTAAAATTCAATTATCCATCAGAGAGACAAATAAATAGCATCATTGTTGGGTCTTAGGCAGACTGTAGAAACCCATTGTGATATTGTAGACAATGAAGCCATAGTTACCCACACTACAACACAACCAAGCTACGACTCACACAAACGTTAAATAAATAACTAAAAAACTACAGAAATAAACCAAGGAAACAATAAGTACAGACATAGTTTGTTGCATCACCACATATCATCGTCACTAACTTCAATGTGTTCCATCTCCATGATACTCTGAGACAGACTGTAGAAACCCATTGTGATATTGTAGACAATGAAGCCATAGTTACCCACACTACAACACAACCAAGCTACGACTCACACAAACGTTAAATAAGTAACTAAAAAACTACATAAATAAACCAAGGAAAAAATAAGTACGGACATAGTTTGTTGCAACACCACATATCATCGTCACTACCTTCAACGTGTTCCATCTCCATGATACTCTGACTCTGTGTGTTCTGCCTTTTTCCATCTCTCTTCTTCTTCTTTTTCTATAACATACAATCCCATTAGAACTTAGAAAAATTTGGATCAACACACTTACTTAAACAGGAGATAAAAATCAATACCCAAAATAAATATACATATAATCAATAAAAGAAAAGAATCAACCTCATATATCTGCGGGGTAAAGATACGGGTGTCATTGACGTCAGTAGAACCTGAGACCTGATAGAACATCCAATCTGTAACTTTTTGCCCCTCTTTAGAATTATAAAAAGGAAACACATTCGCCACAATAGTTTCTGTTTTGGGAGCATCATCAGTGGAACCATCAGGGACAATCTCCTCAACAGTCATGGCCACAACCACAGAGGGTATAACAATAGCAGCCTTGTTTAAACTCACGAACTTGTAAGTTCTTCCATTCTGCAATATGTTACTATTATATTGGGGCCACACCCTAATATAATATTTGAAACAAATAAAACATACCAACAATTCTAGTAATTCTTANAAAAGAAAAGAATCGACCTCATATCAACTATAAATTACCACCTAGCAAATTTCCATCTCTTGATAGAGTTGCATTAACACCACATTCTAACTGAAACCAATGAAATCACAAAGATTCCTTAACATCTAAAGCATTTCAAAAGGAGTACGGAATCATATAAGAGAAAGAAAACCAAACATGGATTCATAACGCCTATAGATAGACAAAACATTTGTTGATTATAATTAGGAAATATGCATATAAACATATACATACGGTGGTGGCAGCAGTCTTGGAGTACGCAGTTTGGTCATTGATACTATTGAGTGCGAGAAGTGCAAAACCCATCATTTTATTATAGGTGTCCTCGTTATATTCTTTGCACAACAACTTTGGAATGATACTACCGCCACAGCCCACCCAACTATGAGGAAAACAGGTGAGATCAAAAGCCTACAAAACCCAATTTCATCAGAAGAAAAGAATTGGCAGCAGCATTACATCAGAGTGTTAATTTATTCCACATATCAAAATTGATACAAATATATAACGTCAAAACGAAAGGACAAATCACATATATACACATCCAACACAATCACTTTCTAAACCAAGGTTACTGAAAGCACCTTCTTCCTATAAGCATTAGGAAACAATTTACCAAAGATTACGCCTCATATATATGCAGATTGTAAAACATACAGAAAATCCTTATCAATTCCCAATCACATGAATGAATATTGAATCCTATCTTTGGCATAAGAAAACCGGATCCAATTCCCAATTTAACAAAAATAGACCCAATCAAACACACACACGCACAAATCACATAGACAGGAAGAGAAAAAGAGAGGGGGAGAGCAAACAGCTGATAAGAGGAAAAAAAAATCATTGTATTAAAATAAATGGAGAAACAAGATTGTTAGGGTTCACCTTGGTTTCGTCGACGAACTTGCAGAAAGCAGCATACTTCTCCGGATCGTCGAATTTCATGAGAATTTTGCCGTATTCACTTTCGTCATCATCGCTGTCGCTGTCGGTGGTGTATTCAAGGTCATCATCCTCTACATCATCACTCCCTGTGTTTCCCCTTTTCTTATCTCCCATCGTTTTTTGCTTCAATTTGAATACGGATTAAACAAGAATCTTAAATCAATTCTCGAACTGAACTACGAGATCACGAAATACCCAATAACGAATGAATGAATCAGATCATACATAATCAGAATAACTGGAAAACGAC